GCTGCATGTGAGGCTCCTTTTTTATTATTTTCGTTGCTGCAATACTTCACAACTCGTACAGTCCCTTGAGATGCTGTGATATTCTGGCAGCATATCACACCATGCGCGGAGGCACTACTTCCAGAGGCTCGTTGGAGCTGCTGTACTACTGAAAGGAAGCAAAGGAGGTTGTGAAATCCATAGGGCGATAAAGGGGTCAGGGAGTGACTTTGTGGCATCGTGTCATCCCTTAGTGCTGGGAACTGGAGGTGGCCCCGTGCTCTTGTGCCAGTGCCGGGGCGGTCTGGGTCAGCCAGCACTGTGGGCCTTAGGGAAGGAGCAGGTAGATGAAGTTTGGCTTGAGGCAAAGGTTTCCATCTTGGGGACTGACCAGCCAGGGTTCTTTGTAAATGTTTTTCCTTGCACACTAATCATCTTGAAGAAAACACTAGCTGCTAACTCTAGGATTTGCCTTTAATATGTTTATAGGGCTCAAAAGCAAGGTTTTCCGAATGTGTTTGTCCATGTGACATATTTATATAGTAAATACTCTAGTGTCTCGCTGCTGTTCAGTACTCTCAACAGGGCGGCGTTCTTTCGTTAGCTAAATTAACATCCACTCCCAGTCCTTAGCTTTCTGCCAGTATCCGGTGAATCCAACTGGGATTTCTAGCATCTTGACGTAGCATATCACTCTAATCGAAGATGGAAACTCTCCCAAAATACGTTTGAGCAGCCCCTTAGTCAGGAGCTTTGTACTGCTAACAGTTGAGGAGGCCTGGGATGAGGCGGTGGTCCCATGGAGGTGACTCTGGTTACCCCCTGGGGCAAGTGGTGACTGTGAATTGTCCTGTCCTTTCCTCTGCTATGTTTTTTATGTGGAATTTGGATGTTTTGGGGTCATTCTTTTGCATTGCAGTGTTGTTGAAATGCAGCGGAACTGATTTAGGAAAGGTACCTGTATCTTCCCGGGGTTAGAAAGACGGATGAAATTAAATGAAAGGCCAAAATTGTACTGGGATTTACCGTGTGAGTGTGGAGGGTGTGCCCGGAGCATGGTGCTAACGCAGCGTTTTGGAGTTCAGCTCCTCTATCACAAGCAGCAGCAGCGACAGCGGGGACAGGCTATACCTGCAAGTTCAGTGGGTTCATTCTTTCGCTTCTGTTATGGTTTGAATTTGGTCAAAGTCTCTGGCTTAAATTGAGCTACTTCAACAGAATTCTCTCAACCCATCTCTTTGTGTAATGTCAAGCATGACTGAATGCTGAATCCAAATGACGGCTATCCCATATTGGCTTTTTTGTATTCAAAAAGAACTGTGTAGTAACCATTTTTACATGTATATCACCTGCAGACCTGGACTATTCCAACAAGTTAATATTTTAATTAAAATAGTTTGCAAAAACTGATTCAGATCAACTGGTCTAAATGTGTGTGTCCCTGTGTGTACGTGGGGGAAGGAAAGCTGTCCCAAACAAGCCTGATCTCGAGAGAAAACACCCCATTATGCAGCTGTAGCCAGAGGGCCTCGGGCCAGGCTGTGCCTTGGAGGTGTATGAGGAGGCCTTGGCGTTGAGAATTTTGATGTATCTCGGGTATATTTCCGAGATACATGATCGAGTGTACGCTAGAGAGACGCAAACACTCTGAATCAGTTTGCAAACTCTGTTTTTAAAAGTAAGACCAATTACTCCATATTGTACTCGTTGCAGTCATGCCCTAACTTTGGTTTTAAAAATACTGTCGTCTGTAAATTGTGGAAGCTACTCCAGTACCTCAGCAAAGATGTCCTCTTACATCTTTTATGTTTGTATTTAACACTGGGGACTCTCTTCTGTGTGGACTACTGGGCAAACTTTATTGGAGTATTTTTCAAATCACCAGCTTGACCCCTGAAATCTCATGTTCTGTGGTTATTTTTCTCTCCCCTTTGCAAAGACGTAAAGTTGCGATGTCAGTTGGCCCAGAGGGGGGAAAAAAAAACACGAGCCAGATTTTCACCTCTTTCCTTTGATTTTATTTAATTAAAATCAGTGAAAGGGACCACATTTTTCTTGTTCTCCATGGTCCCAGGGAGTCAGCAGCCACCTCTCCCTTCCATGTTGAACATTACGTGCTTTCTTCCTCAGATGCAGCACTGAAATGGAGGCCACCGCTCTGTTTCACCTGCATTCGCTCCAAACCCGTGAGCTTCAAAGGGGCTGAAGAACTAAATGTGGTATGATACCAAGCTTTCCACAGAAAATTCCCAGCAGCCATTCCTTGCCTGGCTTGGGGCCAGGCTGGCATCGCTCCGTAGCCCACCCAGCCCTCCCACTCCCGAAGAACGTGCGTTGCACACTAGCTGTAACCTGCACGGGCCGTGCCCTGCTCGCTCCTGGGATGATGCTGTTTATTAACACGCCCCCCCCCAGGGGAAAAGGGCCCCTGGACCCTGCTTACGTGCCATTTCTTGAGAGGCAATAAATTGTATTGTACCACTGTCGACCATTACTCTGTTGAATACGCACATCTCTCTGAATATATATACGGTATCTCATTTGTATATATTTATATACTCTGTATGTACGTGTGTGTGGGTATATGTGCACACACACCTCATGCTGTGCATTTCTGTCAGGGCACTTCAGTCCTGCTGTTCTTTAGCGCTCCTCTTCGTCAGCCAAAGCAAGCCCTGCGGCGGGGCTCGCGAGGGCGAGGGCGCGTCCATCTGCACAGGCGGAACGCAGTCAGGAGCCCTCGCTTAAATACTGCCCTGCTCATTGCAGCTTGCTTTTTCGGGGGCGCGGGAGGGTAGGCTAGCTGCTACGGGTGTGCTGTAAAGGAGAGAAGAGAGCTCCCGGAGGGCACCAGAAGGGGAGAAGACAGCACAGAAAACAAGATGGTGTAGCGATAGGGAAGCAGTTGAGGCAACGTACCGATCTGCTGGGGAGGTGGCGAGTGGGCCGGTGAAGTGCTCAGCGGGCTGAGCTCCGAGTCCCCAGCTGTGTCTCACCAGGAAAGATCACAAGCG